ACATATTTTACGAAAGATTCGCGAATGAGAGAAATATTTTTTCTTGGATGAGAAAGAAGAGAAAGAAAAATAATAATAACTGTTTTAGCATAGAGAGGAGTAAGTCATCTCCGCTGGTTGACAACAAATCAAGATACATCTTCAAATTATTTCACAAAAAACTCGATGAGACAGATCTTTACTTAGCAAACAGCTTTTCATTTTTTGCAGGCGATTTTGTACATGCGATTGTAAACGCGAGAAGAAGACACTCTTTGAAAGATTCGTGGCAAGAAGAACTCTTCTACATCGAGACAGGCAAAACAGGTAATATAGATAGATAATCAGATATTTTCCCTACGTATGTATATGTACTATATATGTTCATATATATATATGTATATATTATTGTGTGTACAAGTATGTGTGTGTAGTTTTCGATTTTTATCTATAATTACGAGGTGACCAATCAAAATCGATACGTTCGACGTTTCCGACGGAAAAAGAAATCTCGATATGATATTTTTTTCATCTTTGTATTCGTTCAATTTGTTTCTTATCTTTATTTTCTATCGTTGCGTTTATTTTAAAACAAACAAAAAAAGCTCTTTCAGAAACGTTAATTAAAAAGAGTACCAACCAACGCGTATGTGTTATAACTAATAAAGAAAATTACCTTTTTCCCCATAGTGTTTACAAAGTGATCTTAAAAACGTATCCGTTAATCGCGAATCTTTAGCAAATATTTTCTCGGCAAAGAGATTACATTTTGATATTTTGAATAAGATATACAAAAGAGGGATTGGCATACAGAGAACGTAGATAGACTAGATAAGAGGAAAAAAATGTATTGATCCCTTCTTCCCTGTTCCCCGTTTTACTCCAGAAAAATATATCGCCAAATATAGAGCTAGGATTTGAAAATAATAGGGTATTATCTTTTAGTAAAATAAATCCAGCAAAGTTTTTACGTCGAAAAATGAAAATCTATTCCTATCGTGCTCGTTTCGAAAGGTCACACAACGTATACGCGTATATATATATATAAATATATTATATATGTATGTATAATTAGGAAGATAGAAGAGTCGTCTGTTCTATTAGAAAACGGGGCTTGAATAACAAGTTGCTTGCTTAGTAAGTGAATGAATAAAAACCCGTACGGCTCACTCTGTGTTGAGAGTGCTGAGTGTGTTTCGCACCTTGCGAGGCATTTGGCGAGTGTGCACGCAAAGAAACCATCGATGGTTGCCTCGATGGTACGCGTACACTTGCCCTAGAACCACGACGTTCCTGGGTATGTAGAAGTTTGTTATCCCTTAACAAGGAGACGTTCATCAATCGTGCGTTGGGAGTGTTGAAAATCGTTCGATTTTCTCGCCAACGTGCTCTGAAACGATCCAAGTAGGACAATATCATCGAGTAAAGTTTTGCTAAAGTTTCCTCACTTTAAACTTACTTGCTAAAAAGTCTAAGAACGACGCATATAATGATGAACATCAGTGCCATGCCAACGAGAACTCCGATCATCGCTGGGTCCACGTATTGCAAACTGGGTGGTTCTTTGTTCTCGGCTAAAAACGTGAAAAAATTCACTTGGCGTACTTTATTAAAGAAATTCCACCAATAGCATTCGGCATCGGGTAAATAACAAAATCAACACGTGTCAGAATTCTTCGAAAGAATTATTTTTCTTATTTCAAAGATCTTTCATCGTTTTCACCCTTACCAATGCAAACTATGACACCGTCGGGCTGCGTTACAGGAATCTTCTCGAAGATGCATATGCATCGATTGTCCCTGCATTCTGTTTGGCTCACTCGTGCCTCGCATTGTTCGTGAAAGAAGCAACTCTCGTTAACGTTCACAGCTGAAAATAATTTCGTCAGATTTTCTTTTTTCTTTTTCTACGATCATCGAAGAATGGTTTCCATTATATATGAAAAGGTCATCTCTATTCTTACGATAAACGAGTGTCAAGAAATTACCATAATAATTCATTCTTCTATTAACTTTTTTCCCCATTAATAAAGTTTTAATTAGAAAACATTTGATTCGACACAAACTTACAGGTTGTTCGCTAAGGTGGTTATTTTTAATATTTCAGTATCTGAATATGTATATTGCATATACATAAATGAATATATAATTAGCCATATTTGTATACAAATATAGTTAATATAAAATTATTAAATAATTTTAGTATTCTTTGTCCATTATTGAAGTGGATCCCACATATTTTTGAAACATATATACGATTATATTATACATTTGTTACTTGAAAAAATATTTGGTACATTTTGATAAAGTCAATAGAAATGTTTCCTTCGTTTGAAATAAAAATTCCTTTCTTCATTCGGAAGTGAAATCGACAAGCGAATGAAGCGACGTGCATTATCGAGGTCACTGACGTCTCTATATGCTATGTATTCTCCCTTCTCCTTTACAAGGTACTCGTGTACAACGAACAAACAAAAGGGTCTCTAGATCCTCATGATACAACAGTCAATTATCATCCAATATTTCAGGTGCCCTACTGGCACTCATTGTCAGATTGGGCTAAGCAATCGTTAATGTGTTGTGTCTACTGATACGGAAATATATTTCTTTCGCTATTTTCGAGATATTGGATGCGCACATGTGTTGTAATTCAAAAATATACAATAGATAAATCGAATAATCGAAATCAATCGAAACAATTTTCAATTTCGTTGTCCATTATTCGCAAATTTATATTAAACGTAATCAAATGAAAACAATTATATCAAAAAAAAAAAAAGAATTTCTCTCTACTGACACGTTTAAATATATACTAACTTACGGTTTCCACATTTGTCAATATGATTAGTGACTTTAAATTCTTCTCTACAAGTGCATATATTCTTCTTCGGTTCACAGTAAGATCCGTTGAAGCCGCATTCACGATCGGACTCGCAACTGTCGCTAAATTTCTTGTTTCCTCGATCGAAGTTATCTAAATGGAAATAGAAAAATGTTAGTATAATATTTATTTGCGCGCGTATAGGGTTTCAATTTAAATACAATTAAACAGAAAGGATTCTAGTTAAGAAGGATTACAGAGTCAGCTGATATAACGATAATGAAAGCAGTAACGTCGAGATTAACGGAACTAAGAAAGCAATCCCTTTGCAAGGCAAAAAGATCCCTGCTTGATTGTCGCATTGTCACTGCATAATAGGCATTCGCTCGATTCCAAATGGAAAGAGTCTTTCTTTCTTGTCATTCCGACAGACATTTGCTTGCTTGCTTTCTCATTTCACGATTAGTAAACCATTAAACAGAGTGCGAAAGAATTTGATAATGATAAATAACAATGTTGCATTAGCTATAGAAAATTGTCGAATTGTTTCCATGTAAATGAATGCGACCGATTCTAACTTTTATATTTTATTAAAAGAGAGAGAATTTTTAAATGGAAATATTTCAACTTTATTTCTATCTTAGAACGAGTATTTTAATCCATATGGGGATATTGCATTTTTCATAGATTGGTGCTCGATAATCGGTCGTCTTTCAACACTGGCTGATTTAAAAATAACTTATTATAAATATCCTTGTGTTGCAACTATGTTCAGTGATGATGGGTGTTTCGTCGAACGTTCAAATTATCAGTCTATCGTTCAGATGAATAGATAAATAAACGAAAGGTCCACTAAGCACTAAGATTTCCTCGAAGAAGGGCCAACCTTAGTCAACGAAACTATCGACCTACGACTTTATTTACAATCTGCTCGGCTTTCAGTTTCACGATGTCCTACTTCTAGAATCTTTTTTTATCGAAGAGAAGACTTAAGCTCAAACCTCACTTGACTCTCATTTTTAACCACCAACCTGGAATTTTCTCTTATTCTTTGGAAATAAAGAAAAACGCTTGGCCCCAAAACAATGAACTCAAATCGACCGAAAAATAATTTTCCCTTTCGATATTTTTCTTCGGTTACTTCACATTGGTTATGCTTAAAATCGATTTTAGTAGATTTTCAAGGATAAGAATGTCAATTTCAGTACATTTACAGATGTCACGCGATTTAACAATTATTTGACTTTTGATTTTTTGATCTCAAAATAAGAGCAAAAAAGTCACAATCTTTATAGGAGACATTATTTAATAGAACGAGATTGAAAAGAAAATGTTTTACGAAACAATTAGTTGGATAAATATCCTTAGAAATTTGTCAATAAACTATCGTTGCGTGTAGATCGGTAAATTGTTATAAGAGAGTATCCATTAATTGTAACGATTTTAACTTGAATTGTATAAAAGTTGTACTCGAATGGTAGTCGAACATGAATCTCGTCTTCTCATACATGACTCAGGTAAGGCCGACTTTCGTGTATACACGGAACTAAGGTCTCGGGGAAAATCGATAGCCGCAGTTCGCGCATTATTGCGAAATTAATTAGTAAACTGTGAAAAAAATAATCTCCATAAATATGCTTACGTCATTAATTTCAACTTATAATCGATTAGCATCTGTTTTATAAAAAGGTATCAAACATTAACAGATTGTTTATTTTGCATTTGATAAATATTTTTTACAATATAGTAATTTATGTGTCGATGTAACATGATACTAATTGATATTGTAATTAAAAAAACACAATTGCATGTTAATTAAGAAATAGATCCATAAAAACTAGCGTTAAAGTATTTATTTGTTGATTTTGAAAAATATTAGATACATTAAATTACCCGAATTATAAAAATATATATATAATTTATAAATATATAATATTATTAAATTATAAAATAAATTATATATATATATATATATATATATATATATATATAGTTCAGGAGAAAAATTCGAAATAATTGATACAATGTTTTGCGCAAAAGAATCGTTTAAAGGAACGATTAGTAAGAATTGTGTTTTAAATTGTTCCGTTGATTAGCGGAGTCTTTTGTTAGTAAAGAAAGAAAGTAAGAAGAGAAAGGATAGAAGAGAACATTATAGATAGTTATCGCGAAGGTAGATCCTGTAAGTAGAAGTAAAAAATGGCGACGTGCACGGGTCAATCTACTAGGCGTTAAAAATGGGTCATTTCGTGGGGTGGGTGGGTGGATGGTGGGGGGTTTCATGGCATGTTGCCAATGCTCTCTCTAGCACGAGTCGTTTCTGTTCCTGCCGCAGTGTATGAAAAGCTTACCTTCGAAACTACCTTGAATGAACGCGAATGAGTCTGACTGTCTGTCTGTCTGTCTGCAAGTTTCATGCGTAAACCCACTCACGTGGGATTCGTCGTTCGATCAATTTTTATTTTACGATAAATTATCTCTCCCTTTTTATCGGTCATAAATTTTATACAGAAATTGATATGCTTATTTGTTTTTAATCCTTTTGTTAAAATTAGATATTTTTATTCAATAATATTAGATTACTATTAGATATATAGTAGATTTATTTTGCGCGTGAAGCATTTATTTTTAAGAAAAAAAAAACGATTACGAATAATATAAAATTATGTTCCTTCTTTACAGAGTCAAAATCAATCAAGAGAAAGGGAGAGAGAGAGAGACAGAGGGTGTACAGCATGAGAAGGAAATATTAAACGGTCGTACATAAATATTCGTAGATCACATGATAACGAGGCAGATATCTATTCGAAGTTTGATATCTTTATAGTTGACTAACACGCGAAAAAACAAGCCCGATGTTAATCCTGCTAATCTTCATTGAACGCTTGACATTTTTTCTTTTTTTGACAATATCTTTAATATTAGCGCGTTTCATTATTCTTCCCGTTTAACAACGTCGTTCAATATTATACATTATTCGCTCGCGAATTGTTATTTTTCATTGAAAAATAATCTTTTTTTAAGGAGGATCATAGATATCGAGAAACGCGTTATAGTTAGAAAATTCTATATTTTCTCGTAGGGAAAGATATTTATTTCGAAAATGAGTGAATCGTGAAATTAAAGAGACCTTTGCGGCCTTATAACGTTTCTGCTAGAGACGTTTGGTGTGCAAGTTATGACTCCTCGGAGAGCAAAGGTATTCAAATGAAAAGGAGCATCGAATGCCCATTTTCTAAGAGTTGGCACGTTCCGATAGAGTGCTATGCATTGGATGCCTTTGTGGGAATGCCATTTAACGGCTCAATGAATTTACAATCCCAGTTTGAACGCAATTAAACTTTCTAGAAGTTCGCTGACGAGTACAACTTAATTTATTGTTTTCATCTCTCACCTCCCCCCACCCCCCGATAAAATATTATTTCTAAACTAATAAAAAAAAAAATAGTGCGAACGTGTTGAAGCTTTCATTTAATACGAAGGGTGTCATTCGTTTCGTTAATGGTAGTTCCTCTTCGAATGAAATATAAATTATTTAAAATAATTAATCGATCGATTTTTCTTAACAATTTATCCGAATGAACGCGAAACTGGTGCACCCAGTCACCTCGCCGATGCATACGAGAAGGACGCATAATAACGGTAATGATAAAAAGTACGCTTGGTTGCTAGAAAATAGCATGCAACTATTACGAGCTATCGCAAGAAATCGTCATTTTCACGGCACGCAACCGTTCCCCGATTACAACACTACCACCCTTTTTTTTTCACCTTTTCTCTCCTCTCTCTCTCTCTCTCTCTTTCAACCTTTTTATCCGTTTGGTTTCTTTTTTATCATATCGTTAAATCTTTTTCTCGAAATGGCCAGAAACAGAACTGTCCTCGTTGACACAGATATTTTTTAATGGAAAATATAAAAGGTATATAACTATCTCTTTGTTTAAATGTATATACATATAATATCTACAAATGTATATAATACTTGATTCGAAGTACCAGATTAGTTATATACGATAAATAATGCAAGATGGAAAAGTCATTTCTCGGATTTGTAACCGGAGACAAAAAAATGGAAAATGGCTATTGTCGACATTTAATAGCCCTACTCTCGAATGTAAACAACGGAAAGTAGTTTTTTCTATCCGTATAAAAGTGTTTAGATTGCAAACTGTAATATGAGAATCATTTGGTTCGTTTGAGTTTCTACGGATTAACGGTATTGCACACGAATGGATTCTAATTAAAGGTGAACGACGACGACGACAACGACGATGACAATGATACGAGCCAATATACAGATGTGTGTGTGTGTACATATGTGTGTTTGCGGAATTCAACTCCGATGCGTTCGTTTAACGATCATACAATTAAATTTGGATTAAATCGATAGGATACAATTGAATCAAAATTTCCATTACCTAAATGAAATTTCAATTCGATAGGTAGGGTATCTTAGGGGTAACGTAGAGTTTTTTTTTTTGACGATGAACAAGGGACATATTTGTACCGACCGTATATACGTATCACTCCGACGAAAGTACTTTATTTTTTTTCTTTTCTTTTTTTTGAATGAAGTTCTCGGTGCTCTGTACGAGGCCTATATGCATTGAGCATCACCAACGGACGATGACAGTGCAAATATTTTCCTTCTCGAGAGAGCTCTTTTTTTCGCAAAGTACTATCGCACGTCACGTTATAAAATACTGCCAACGATGTAGATATGTATGACTGCAAACGACCTGGGTTGTACGCGCCCGTGTGTGTGTGTGTGTCTGTCTGTGTCCGTGTTTTTTTTTTTCCTATTTCAAGATGAACCGTAACGATATTTTTCGAACGATTCAAATAGAGAACTAACTACATAAATAAAATTAATCCGAATGCAATCGTTGTATTGTTTGCATGTGTGTGTAATACGAGGGAATAATATTTTAATCGTTAGAATAGGAAAAGCTTTAATACCGAATATTTCTACTCTTTAAAACCATTGCCCTATTGAGAATTTTCAAGCAACAGATAGTCGTGCACTTTTCGATGAGATAAAATCCTTCTCTCGTTTAGTTTTTGTTCGTTTAAATATCAATATTCTACTTTAAACTAAATTTTTATTTCTCTTCGATAATATCAAAATGATGAAAAAAAGAAAAAGACTAAAATGGATATCGAAATATTGATTCTGGACATTTTTTTTTTTTCGTATCTGGAATATGTATAAACCAATCAACGTAATTAAATTTTAAATTTTATTTTCGAAATGATACTATGTGACATTTTCGTTTGACGAGGAATAATAATTCGAAATATACACAGTTAATGAATTTCCTATATGTTGTATCATCGATTACTTCGGAAACGTTAAATTTAATTACATCCAAGAGTATATGCTTTTATTAATATTCACGCTTAACCATGTCACTAAATTGTATAATAATTTGTTTCGTTAAATGAAATATTAATATAATAGCGATTGTTGTAGACATTACTTGGAAATGAATACTAATATGAAAATTTATGTTTCAGTCGAAGAGGAAAATTTGGAAAGGAAAAGTAGGAGGAAACGTTTCTTCGAGTTTGAACCACTTCAGTGTTTTAGAAAAAGTTAGGCACAGGTGAATCCGCAGTGCAGGACTGCAGTAACATAATGTTGAATGCACATCGACCGTTCATTCAACCCCTACTTTCTAATAACGAGAACAAAAGAAAACACAAAATAATGCATACGTATCTATTCGGCGTAAAGTGAAAATATTTGTTTGTTTATTTGCCCAAACGAAAAACTATGCAACAACGGATGGATAAAATTTGTTGCGAAAAGTAAATTTCGTAAACAAAAAATAAAAAATAAAAGTAAAATGAAAAGTACGTTAAATAATAATAAAAGAATAGCAATATACGTAAACTTTTTTTCTGAATTAGTCATACGAAACAACTGATTAATGAAACGATAAAAATATATTCTTATGAACGATTTTTTTAAAAGCACAAAAAAGTTCTTGGTCTGTTAATGCTATTGGATACTTTATTAAGATAAAAGGTTAAGCAAAAAAAGACATAAGAGGGACCACGATAACCTTTTTTTACGATTCTAATCGTTTTTGTTATTATTAAACACATTTGTTTAATTTTCTTTTGTTCTCTCGCTTATAATATATTATTGGAAATTTATTATTTGAACTTGAGTGCAATCGACGATTAATACTGTCAGGTTGAAAAACATCGTTTTTCTTTTTATAGCAAAATTATTCACGCGCTCGTCTCTACAAGAATACGTATATAGAAATATTTTGTTTAAATATCGATCGATATATATATTATTATTTTAACTTTTTTTTTAGCAAGACTCATTGTCGATTACAAAAAGGATACTATTACCGACAAATATATTTTCTGTCGTATATATTAAACAAATGTTATTTTTCTAAATTATCAACGAAATACGCGTTTTTAAGCGTTATTCGTAATTATAAAAACAACAAATAGAAACGTATATGGAATAAATTAATCCATGAATAATTATTTGACATAAACGTTGTAACTTGTAATACTTATTTCTACGTACAATGGAAAAGTCTGCCAGCTACTCAACAAAGAGGATGAATGCGCAAATGCATGATATTTATTTTGCCTTAGGGCGTGTTCTAATTATTATCATGTATCGTTTGATAAAAGAACTAGACAAAGTTACGTGTAATTTTTTTTCTTTTCAAACGTATATGCTTCGCTAATTAAAAAAATGTATCCCAAGGAGTTTGTTGTTCCATATTTTCTTTCGACGTATACATATCAATTAAATAAAATTAATAGTCTCGTGAAAAAAATAGGGAGAGAGAAATAAGGGAGGAAAAAAGAAAGAAGGGAAGTTCGATGCGAAATCGATCGATTGTACGGTAAAAAAAAAAGATCTTTAGTGGTAAAAAAAAATAAAGAAAAAAATATGTATGTACAAATAATCGATAAAACTATCTGATCACTAGCGACAAACGGGTTATTTCATATTTACGTTCTAGAAGAAATTTACAGGCACGAACAATAGCACACGAGTTCATATAATACAATATTTCTTTTATCGATCATTCGACGACTGTAGAGACACGAAACGAAGTCGGCGACGAGGTCCTCGCCAAGGCAATTCTAACACGCACGAACATTACGAAAATTACACGGATCTAATTGGATTCAAAGTAAATTCGTGGCCACGTATCGCGATATTTCGAGTGAGTCATCGAAATATACTTACTCGTTATTAAAAGCGTTAACATAATGGTACAAGACAAAAAATTACGTTGACTCATTGTAACGATAAACTATTATAACTAAATGTTTATTTTCTATCGTTTTGATAAATCGATATCGTTCTTATAATTACGTCAAATAATTGAATTAACATATTCGAAAGGTTCCTTTACGTTCTATCATCTTTTTCGATTAATAAACGATTGTTTTGCTTTGATGGCAAGCTGTTCGGTTTATCCACTTCAAAGGAATCTCAATAAGGGGAATAAAACGTTTCGACAATAATTAAGATTCCTTAGAAAAGTTTCAAGATTGAATGTTAAATTATTCCCGAGATTTGCTAAAGATGATGTTATTTACGTTAACGAATTTTCGATAAATATCTATGCTAGGTATACCACTAGGTATTTTTTGTTTTATGGAAAATACCTCGTAACATATCTAGCGAATCGATCATTTTACGATGTAGCATTCCAATATTATTTTTATTTAGAATTTCGCGGGAAATAAAACCACTTCAAAAAAGTCTAGAATTTCATTTTAAAAATAACCTTGAGGAAAAGAAAAGCTCTCAAAAGTAGGGTAATTTTTTCCTGCGTATTTTTCTCTCGACGAGATCAAAGAAATATTTCGAGTAATAATAAAGTTATGATGTAAACTCTGTTAAACGTATTTTTATTTTTAAATCGAAGAAAATTACACTTTGACACGCTCCAAAAGAGATTTCCGAGTAATATCAAGTATATAATAAAGTTACAACGAGTGCTCTTTTGAAAAAAAAAAAAAGAAAAAAAAGAAAAAAGAAAAAACTTATAATGTAGATTGCAATTCCTTAGAGAAATTCACGACATACATTCGAGCCACTATCGACTACTAATTCATTTATGCACTTCACAAAAGTTATACCACTATATAGGGTTTTCCTACCTGCTAGCTACCCTTGTTTCGTCGTATGTACACCTTCTCGAGCTATGTTCTACAAGGGTTTATGTTTATCATGTATTTGGCATAAAGCCATTGTCGATATGAAACTAGTACAATGCTAGGAGACAAAATATCGTATTTCAAGAATTACACGTACAAACAAAATAGATATCTATCATCGTTTAAAGTATTCAATAGATATATCTTTATTCTCGTATATAAATTGACGTTCAGTTAAATCGTCACTAACGAAGACAAACTTTTCAGGAGCAATACAATATCAAAGTAAATTTAAACGAATGGCTCTTTCCGTTATTTAAAGTAATCCCTGTTGAAGTACACTCGAACTACATTTAATTGTATAATGGACGTAAAGATTTTTAACTTTCAAAGAGAAAAACGAACGAATAAATTTCCTATCTAAGAAGGATTTCATTTGTTTAAATATAAATATATATATGTTTATGAATCTAATAAACTTAATATTTTTCTATTCTTCGAAAAGAAGAAGAAAAAAAAAACAGTATGCCAAAGGGCAGTAAGCAACCTTCTTTTTCCATTATTGTTTATATGCACGAAAATATAAAACTGCTACAGGTAAGAATAAAAGAACGACCCCGTTTTCGTGGGGACATACATACGTCGCTTTCGCACGTAAATCAATCAAAAAAAAAAAAAAACCTGCCGAGTCTAACCGTTGCTGCGTGTTGTTACCCATACTTACAAATGTTACACGATTTCATTTATTTCATTTTACGAACCAACAAAATCGTATCTCTTTCAGCACGATAAAACAAAGCGATCGTAAATCAAAAAATTGGATATAATATTGCGATCCATCATATATATTTATATATTGTCGAAAGATTCTGATGGGTTTCGTGTCATCGGGTAAAAGTTACTTCGTGTTGACCCTAGTGAATCTTTAAAATCGTACGGTACATGAAAGAACAAATAAAAAGGAAAAGAAGAAAAGAAGAGTTACGATGTTAAATACAAAATATAATCAATTTTCATTTATTCGCAATTTTTTTTTTTATGGCAAACGTTAATTGAAATTATGACGAAACATTGCGAAATATACATAACTGAAATAAACTTTAGAAAAGAAATTTAATCCATGGAACATAATTTTCTCATGAACTTCAACGTATCGGGGATCAGGTAAAGAGATAAAAGAGAGATAAAATATGAGATAAAAGAGAAGAAAATAAAAGGTAGTCGGGGAGGTGGGAAAAGGATGGTGAAAAAGTATGAACTCACTTTCGATGGTGATCGATTCAGGTGGATCTGGCTGGCCGAAGGCAGGCCGGTCGAGAGCGATTAAGAAGCAGAAGACGATGGCGCAGATCAGGTGCATACTTAAATTCCACATCTTGACGTAGGACGGAGAAAAAAAGATCGGCGTCGTCGCCAAGCGAGCCGGCGACGACGTTTTACCAATGCTCGAACGTATTGTCATCTCTTTATCTTTCATTTGTCACCCCCTTTTTTTTCTTTCTACCCTTCAACAGTGACACTTTACGCAGAACTCTTTACTCTCTCTCTCTCTCTCTCTCTCTCTCTCTCTCCCTCTCATGTACACACGCTCGCGCGTATACACATTCACGCGCCCACACACACACCCACACACACACGCTCGCTCGCTCGCTCGCACACTCGTTCTCTCTCTCTCTCTCTCTCTCTCTCCCTCTCACCGTACTTTTCTTACTTGTTTCGAAAGGCTTTGGTACTCACGCCCTCGCACCCTCGCTCGCACTTGCACCCTCTACACGTTTCTCGTAACACGCACTCGCGGCCGCACCTGCACGCGATGCAGGTTAAGACCGCCGTATCTACTTCCGGTATCACATCTCCGACCGATCAGAACGCGTGCGATCGATCATGCGCATTCTTCCCTAGCTAACGCCGCGAGAGAGAACGCCGACTGACAAGTACGACTCCGAACGAAAATCCTACCACCGTACTTGCCGTTATGTTTTCTTCCCTTCCATCCACCCACCCGCCCAACCACCACCCTTCTCCCCGACCCCCACCAATCAATCCTCTTTCTTCTTCCTTTTGTTTTTTCAAGTCTTTGTCGCTTTATTCCTTCTTTTCCTTTCTTCTATTCCTCCTTGAATCCCCCACGCTAAATGGGAGGAAATAAAAAACGAATGAGAGAGAGAGAGAGAGAGAGAAATTTTTGGGAGAATGCAATAAAGTAGCAGCTATCTCTTCTTCCTGTTCTTCTTCCTCTTATTCTTCCTCCTTTATCCAGCCGAAAATTCAACTGACTACCCGCCAAGAAGTCTCACGTGTATGCGTGTATGCTGTTGTATGCTCGAGTAACGCGACTAGACGACACGACTCGTGTCGATGTGTGTGACCGTGTAAAGAGCATGCAACTATCCGACCACCATCGTCGCCACCACCACCACTACTACTATTACTACTACTACTAATACCTAAAGAGGTGGAAGTCGCGATGATGCCGGGGCGCCGGCGTCCTGCGCAATACAACCACCCTGACTCGAATCCCTTTTCGTACTTCGCTGCGACGAACACGCTTATAGATATGGCGGTGCTGCTGTTTTTTCTAACCCTCCACTGACCCCTCCCAAACCTACCTACCGTCACCGACCTTCGTTTCCACTCCTTCGACCCTTCCTAAACCCGCCGCCTGGCCTCTAACTTTTCCATAAACTCGTTTGACTTATTTCATCATTCATAGACAAGATGCTACTCGATCTCACCAGGCATTTCACCCAAAATTTCTTACAAATCGATCTACTTTTTCTATCTCTTTCTCCCTCTTTTTCTCTCTCGTGCATATGAGCGAGCGCGCGCGCGCGCCCTTACAATTTATCCGAAACCTTGGCCGTTCGTACATTATTCTCTTCTTTTGGCACTCGTCGAAAATTATTTCTCTATTCTATTCTTTCTCATATATATAATCGATGAAAGAAAAACGATGTGTTTTTAATCGTTCGTTATTTTTAGTATCTATATACATTATCAATGCAAAATACAATCTCTTCTCTTTTTCGATGTGCATCGTGGAAAAGGAGGAATGAATTATCTAGAATTGAGGGTTTCGTTTAACATCGATTTCTCCAACGATCGATTATAATCTTGCCTATCAATGATCTTCATTGCAATCGAATACCGTCCGTGATAAAATGTCATGACTCCTTATAGCCATTTAACTGTAGTAAATCGAACAGAGAAGTAATGTCATGTTCGTATTAGAAAAATGAGGAAACTCTTTCGGGAATTCGTTGCTACCTGAAAGGGAACGAATAGTTTTTAACGTCATGATTTTTGTTTTTTTCTCTCTCTCTTTCTTTTTTTTTTCTTTCTCTTTATTTGAAGTAGAACACACTTTTACTTGCTGCTGAGATCTTACGCAATAGACAACCTCCTCCTCGATTCCTTTATTAGTAGGGGAACCGAACAGCGAAACCCTTTTCGACAAGTTAATAACAATAAATTCGTTTTACCGATCCAATTCGCAGCACGAGTTCAACTAGTTTGTGCGTTAATGCGAAAGGAGTCAAACTAGAATTACCTTCCTCGTTAGAGATCGTTGTGCAATTGCTAACAGTAACGAGTCGAAAATATTTTGCCCATATATCGTAGTCGTATTCCCCTAGGCTATTTCTTTTCTTTTTTTTTTACTTTTTCCTATTCGAGTTCGAAGCGAACAAAATTTTGATTACTTTACGACTCTTTTCTTTTCCCCCAACAAAAATCACGTTACATCTTGTTGTAATTGAATTGCCAGAAGCAAAACATTTTCATCGATAATAAGTTGCACGTATATAGTTCGTTTAATAATCTTTAAACATTTGATCGATCAATTCTTACATAACCATCGTCTATCGAGAAATAATTACATATATGTCTTATACATTGTTTATCGATGCTGCGTGTTTTAGGAAAAATTTAATGGATTTTATATAACATTGTGTCGAGATTATGATGACGATGATGATGATTATATTGATGAACATTTCAATATTTTATTTTTTTTTTATTAAAATCATTAGTGAATTAATAAATTGCATAAAACAGTGCGTGGTAAGGTATTTCGATAAATATCGATTGATTCTAATGTCGATTGTTTTCGAGTCATTCGACATGAAGATTATCACTATTTTGTTTTGACATAATAAAATATTGAAGTACGAGAATCTTTGGATGTTAATTCCTGAAAACAAAAAGAAGAATTGTTAATATAATATATTATTTATTTTTACGAATATGTATATACATTATATACTTGCATTGAATTTTTGTTCTCGTATTTCTTCTTTCATTTCATTAAGCCACTCGTGCAACCAAATCCGACCAAAATAACGCATATTCTTTTAAAACAGTACCGCTGGAAAAAGAAATCGAGTTAGATAGGATAGAGAAAACTATAGTTTTTTATATGTACCATTAATTATGACAATGAATTAATTATATAATATGAAATTAATAATAAAATCAATTTTTTCGATTTTCTTTTTATTTACTCCATTGTCATAATTACCAGCAGAGATATATATTATATTATATTATATATGTATTTATATATATGTTCATCCCTCGTTTCACATATTTTGATTTAGACTAGTCATTACGTATTTTCATTGATTCAACAGATAAATGGATAACTTTTATTGAATTTAAAATATTGTACCTTACGGTCTACTCTTCACGGACGAAATAACTCGACTGATATTTTTCGGTCGACCGACTAAAATTTGTAGTATAGAATGCAAATTCGCAGGACCGTTCGTAAGTTAAGCGAAGCGTAATCGAAGCAGTAAACGTGCGCAATTACCTCTATTTATGATTATTCGCGTAGTAAGATTAATTATTTTCAGTGACGAGTAACATACAATACGAGTAACGTATATGTAATACAGATATAAATGTATTACGTCGATAAATACCTATAATTACAATGTTCAGGTTGTCAGTTCATATTATTATCAATTTTACGATTTTTTATTATCTAAATTGGCAATACGAATGACTCTAATGAAAAATGATGGTAATTACCAAAATAGGGAAATTAATTTAAATCAACCAAAAAATTAAAAAAAAAAAAACAATAAAAAAGAAGAGAAAAAGAGAAAGGAATTTCACAATCTCTCGTAATTACATTATTGCGTTAACTCAATCTGTATATATGTCGTCGTGTTGTCGGTATGTTAATCATACGTATGTGTATATAGTAGACTTTCTAAACGCTTTTATATACACACGTGTACAATATTAACGTAAGATCTTTAAACACGAGCAAAAGACGAAGTGGAACTAACGTTCGTCTTTACTTACGTTTCTTCGATAAGTAATATACATATATACTATTTGTCATCCGAAGAAATGAAACGATTTAACTTGTCTTATAAAATCACGAATTTTTATTTCAATTTTTAAACAGATGGGTAAAACGTTTCGTCACAAAGAATGGAAACATCATCAATCGTACTTTTCCATTGCGTCTGATTATATTCGTTGTTACTACTATTTACAAACCTGTATCTTTCAAAGTCAAATCTAGCTACTGGCAACTGATATTACATACATAGACATTGCTACTTGCTGTGCCAGCAAACTTTTAATTCAAGAAACATTATAAATTGTTGCTCTATACGCGCGTAAATAATTCATTTTCCTTTACTTTGTATTAAAATTTATTTCTATCGAATTTCAAATCGTCTTTAAAAAAAACAATTTATTATTCTTTTTTTTTTTTTTTAAACAAATTTTGTTTCTATGCAAATACTAAAATTAAAGATAAAATTTCCATTTTTCTCAAATTAAAATTAATATTCTAGATTTTTATTTAATGTTATCTTGTGTATTATAATAAGAAGGTAATCGAAAATTCAGTCATAGAAAATGATCTTTTGTTGAGAGTTAATCTGGCTTATACTCTTTGAATTTAATCTTATTCAATTTTCGAGTTACTTTTAACAATGAAAAAAATACTTTGTGGAAAAATAATCATATTAGTGAACGTAATCTCACGAGCTTTAGAGGTTTTACGTAAATCTTCGTTAATTAACCAGTCAAATTGTAATTCTTTTTTCGGTATATTTTATAACAGTAATCTAACTAATTCGCGCTAGTCATTTGTTCATTAGTTCCAATTCAAAAATAGTTAAAATTCTTAATTCATTTTTTTTCCCATCGAGGAAAGAGGATTGTTTTTTTATTTATTCGAAATACTCACGTAAAGTAAACTTGGCCTCGAGTATTCGGTGGTGCATTCCAAATAAGAGTGGCCTGTTGTTTCTCACGTGGATCTGCGTGCGTTACAGCACTACATTCAGGATGGGTGTTTGTATTTGGTGTTTGTGCCCAAGAACCAATCCATGCATGGGTATTACTATCGCGTGCTTGTAAAAAGAATCCTTTGAAAGCTGAACCACTAATAGTTACTAAAATCAAAAGAAAAATTAAATGAAAGTGTGAAGAAATTATCGTATATCTGACTAAGTTATTAGAATAAAGATTTATTATAGTACATCTTTATAAACAAAATATTATGTCATAAAAATAATTATTCCAAGTGAAATGCAATTGAAACTGTAATTGAAAGATGAAAGATCAACTGTCGCGTAGGACGAAGAGAGAAATGTCAACGTTGCATGTTTTCCCACGTTATACATAAATGTTACTTGCTATCACGTTCCTTAAAATCGATTAGCAAACTCGCTAATGCAAGTAGTTAAGAGCACAATGGATCAAAAATAACGTTCGCTTTATCTTCCCTTTCTAAAATATTCCTTTTATGAAGAAAGTTTGAAACTCTTATCTGTTTTACGATAAAACGGGCTTCTTATATTTCTAAAGACAACTTTGTCAATTATTTTGTAAAATTTCTTATTAAATAGATTCAAAGGTTTTTTTTTCGAAAAAAGTAAATTTTTGATTCATCGTAAACATTGATCAAATAATTATAATTTTAATAATTAATACTACAAAATATATGAGATCATTATGCTTCGAATTTTGTCCACTGAACAATCGAATCACGTTCATTACATACCGGTAATTTGAGCTCCTGGAACGTATTCTGACGATGAGGCTACTAACGTATAGGGGCTTTTATCCGAGGGTTGACTTCTTGCATCCCCATGATAGGGTTGATTCGGTCTTGGTTTGACACACGCATCTACTGGTGCACCATCGGGAAAACCGGAAACGAAAATCGAAGAGAGAACGATCGCTGATGTCGCGAATAGAAAATTCCTAATGAAACTCATTTTTGGAAGATCCTTGTGTCCTTTGCAAACGATTAAAATTAATTAGACATGAAAAGTAGACGTAATCTTTTTATCTTATTAATAATTAAACAATGATATTTTGAATATAATTGATGAATGAAATAGAGTATTTCAAAAACTATACACATTTACCGATTTAAAATAATTATACGCTTACTTTTTAATTAATTTTAAATCGAAAATAAAAATCTAAACGCTCGCTTTCACTTGATTTCGTTGGTCCTCCTTAGATAGGTGCACGAAAGAAACTGCAATGACCGATCTCTGGCGAGTAAGTCAAATGTCAATGAAATCCCACCAGTTAAAGGCAAAGGTGGTTTTAATTCGCTTTTGCGAATTATTACTTTCACTCGACCCTTCTTTACTCTTTTAATCTGATCTCATCGTTTCATTTTATTTCTCATTAAATTAGGCCAAAAAGATCCTTTGTAATATGTTAATCATTTATTTATACTATTGTTTTGATCATTTTTTCCTATCTCATCTTCGGAAATATAAATTAATAATTTTTCCGATAATCAAACTATCGGTTTCATTGATGATATGCATCCAGAATAAATCTGTCAAAATTAAATTAAAAATATATAATTATATGAATAATTAAAAAATAGGATCCTATGTGTTATGTCATATGATTTGCATATATACAAAGTGTCCCAAGAGTTTCTTTACCGAACTGAGAAATTAAAAATTTATTTTTGGCACGTATATGGGATACAGACTGCATGGTGGGCCCATACAATTTTAACAATACTGTAATTTGAAACTCATCTTTTGAAATGAAAAACAAAAATATTATAATTCTATTAATAAATCAATACTGTGATTTGTTGTTTCTCTACTTCTTCTGAAGCAATGTTTGAAATGCAGTGTAAGCATGGCTATAAAATATACATTTTGCAATATTACAATATTCTTTCATTAAATATATTTTTGCAACAATTCGAATATTTGAATAACGCACTCAAGCAGAGAGTTCTCTAATCGCAGAAGCTAATCCGACCCTTTCACTGTTGAATGCCACACTCGCCGTGACGTGGGTTTTATATTTACATACCAATCGTTACACGATTCGTCCGATGTTTGACTGTCGTGTTATGTTATTGACATACTTACATATATAGATGCTTTTTCATTATGTCTATTTGTTGTTGTATAACGTTAATACTATATTCTTCCGAAAAAGAATTAGTATAATACATTATATAAGAGTACTTATAGAAAAACAATATTATCTGATAAAAAGAGTATATAATGCTTTAATTATTCACATAATAAAGAACAATATAATGAAATTACAATAATTAACTTCATACAGATATTTGAATACTCTATTTTTATCATAACATGAACTTCATGTTAATACAATTGTACAAATTATTCACATATCATATGGTCCTCTTTTATTTTATACTACTTTTAAAGTGAGTGTATGTGCATCGCATAATTTAATAGAAAATAATTACAAAGAATATCTTAGACGCATATAATAAATCTTATTGTACATATTGACAGATTGCAATTATAATTGATATAATTTTTAATAATGTCACATAAAATGAATTTCCTTAAATCATTCTGTGTGAAATTAGATTATCGTACTGTTTTTATCTATCGTTGTAAATTACATATGTGTAGGTATTGGTATGTATTAAGTTTAATATAAAAATGTTAATTTTACACACGAGCAACATAAGAATATTTTTTAAATCTACATATTTGTCATTTAATTCAATACAAATACAAAAAATAATAGCAAAAGTATCACAGACTTAAAATCGTTATGTTATACTAATGTATAAAAATACAAATAAATGAAATTTAACGTGTCTGATATAATAGTTTAGAATTATTATTACATGAACATTTGTTCATTTGTTCAGATTAATGATCAAAACTATTTAATTTCTACATGGAAAACACATCCCTGAGAACAGTGTTTACGGTTCACGTTCTAAGAATATATCTTATATTTTATTGTCATAGGAATTAGTGATCATACGTAATAATACCAGCTCACGTTACGGCTAAACTAAAAGTACAATAAGACATGTTAATTAGATATACTTTCTTCTATACATAAAAACAATTACCATGATTTTTTTATATTATAAATTCTCATTATTTGTAATCTTTTTAAAAATATAAATAATAATTTACTATTAAAAATTTATACGACTATTTCAAAATATTGAACCTTAGAATTTATCTGTTATTTAATTTAAAAGATTAAATGTTATGAGAATATATAAAGTGCTTTAAACCTGAGTTAGATTATTTTAGATTTTACGCAATATACATATATGAGTTATGGCATCTTAATATAAATACATATAGAACATTCTTGTCTATTGTTTGTTAAAATGACATTAATGGCTGATGCATATTCACGTTAAAAAACGGTACACCACTGAAAATATAGTACTGTACTTTGACCGTGCAATTAAAATAGGTAATACTTTCAAAGGAGTTAGTTTGAAAAAAATACCTTCTAGCAATGCTAAGAAAAAAGCAGTAATTTTCAGAGTACTACTTCTGTTTCTTTTAATAATATAAAATTGTTTCTTATTGTTTTTCTTTGTAACATAATAGAGCTTGTTAACATGAATCTAACAGTATGAATGAATTCAAATGTCACAAAATCATTAGGCATTACCTTTTTTTAATTCTACGGTAGAAATGGCATTACTTATTTTCTATTTTTCACTCTATATCTAAAAGCACTATCATTTTAAAATAAATTTTTAATCAGATTTAGATGATGTCAAAGTATATTGATTACTTTCTATGAGTTCAATTGCACATGGTCGCGGGAACCATCCTCGTACTCGTTTTATGGGAAAATCAATTATAGCCTTTTGTTCCTTTTCTCCAAATAACCAATATCTACAATAATAAATTTGTGAGAAATTCTTCTAACTTAAAATAATTCTATTAACAAAAGATTAAATATGAAAATGTTTTGATTTAAATAAAACAATACCTTCGCCAACGTGTGACAATCACAATATCTGTCACATTTAGTTTAATTCGTGTTTCGTCTGTATAAGGAGGATGACACAATACCCCCCAACCATGTTGAATTGGTAACCACGAGCCAGAAGAAGGTTTTATTATCCTATATCTACGTGCCCTTCTCCGTTTATCCATTTTTTGTGCTAATTGCTCTTTCTACAGTAATATTTTTTTCTTAAATATGAGTACGAAACCGAAACAAATTAAAAGAAAGATTATATTTTACCGTTAATGTGTATTGATCACAGCCATCGATCACAGGCCAATTTATACCATCACCTACAGGAGAACAATCCCATGTAAAAACTTGTCTCATATTAAATAGCCACCCCTTTGAATATGGATGAATGAACTTTTCATCTGTACCAAATCTACGATGATATGCTTTTTCTGATATCCAATCCTCTATTTCAGTTTTATTCTTTATAATAGACATCATCTGGTAAAAACATAAATAATATAATCATAATGAACTAAAAATTGCTTATTTAAATTTTGATTACATACCTGAAAGTAAAGTAACATTCCTACAGTAAGAACCACACCGATTGATAAACCGATGGTGAAAATAACTAAAATCAAAGTAAAAACAGAAGGTGGTGGAAATGGTATAGGCTTTAATGATAATACAGTAACAATCCAAGAAATTAGTATGACGGTGGAAATGAAACAACCGCCAACTGCACTAGCCAAAAATGCTGTAAAATGTCCATGATTATGATGACCAACACAATTGTTTATCCATGGACAATGATGATCCATTTTCATAACACAACGACCACCTATAAATGATAGAAGATTATATTTATGTACCAAGTTATTGTCTCTATTATTGATAAACGAAGAACTTACATTTTCTGCAATGATGAGACCTTGGTGCTTTGTATCCTTGACAAACGGTACAATATTGTAAAAATTGAACATCTGTGGCTTGTTCCTAGAAAAAGAAATAAGAAATCAAAATGGATAGCTTATTAAAATGTTTTTTCAAACTTTGCAATTAATTTAAATTAATATTACCGGCCTCCATTTTAATGGTAAAAATCCAGGCCCCTCAAAAATTGCACTGATGAAATGAAAAAGAGTTGATCCGCTAAAGAAAAAAAAGAAACAAAAATTTGCTGTTGCCCAAAGGCTTTCTTGAGGTGGCCACCATTGTCTACTACAATGTATTGTTATTAATGTGATAATTTTTATAATTCCTAAAAAGAAATATAATATTTTAAGTAACTTTTTATAGAAATCATTTGAATTTCCCGCGAAAAAATATGTTTGGAATAAAACGGGTGGAGCCCTTCGTCATTTTTACAAATATCACGAAACATTTATTGTTAATATATAAAATAGTTTAAAAACAATATAATTCTGTATAACTTCTTACTTTTTCGGTATAGAAATTATTATACGACAATAAAAGAAATTTTATTTTAATAAGTTATTAATGTTAACTGACGTACCTAAAGCAGTAAGCGGTCCCCAATGGCATATTTTTTTTAACGGACCGATACACATATTGTTATAATACCATCCGAACAGGGTTAAAAATTCTTCGTAATTGTTTAAAATTCAATAAAATAGATTATTAAATAGTTTATTGACAGAACGCATCTATCAAAATCTTTGACAAATGGTCTCGAAACAACGAATTCCAATTAGTTTTTGATCCGCAAAGTTGGCGATACTAAATTCGACATTCACATCGTTTTAGAAAATAGTAGAAAATGGCGCTTAATTCAAAATACTAATTAAATATTCGTAAGAAATAAATATAGCATTTATTATTCAACAATTTATATTATTTCAACAAAAAATAAGAAATAATATTTTTTCCTTTTCATAAAAATGCTTTTTCTTTAAATACTTTCTCCATTTTGTTTTTTTCTACAAATAGACATGAATAAGTGACATATTTGATTAGTCTACAATGTAGACAATTAATAAACTATCAGCGATATGAAATCGTAAGCTTCGCTTGTACTCTAATATCAGGTTTTGTTCAAACGTTCAATTGTTACATTACAATGGAATAAATTGTATCCATCAATACAAGATGTACAATTACTATATAAAAATATAATTTGTTCATAAGTATTGTACACCAATCCCAAATTGAAATTGTCGCAATACATCACTCCTAACAAATAATAAAGGCATTATTACATTTAATTCTATTCTGGCAGCATTTCCTAGCTCCATTGCAATGCCTCCTCCAACAGAACAACGAACATTTTCCGTAAATATCTTCATATTTTCTTTATAATTATTAGCTGAAAAAGAAATGATATCTTTAAAAATTTTTATATATATATAATACTAAATGAAAAATAATATATTATATTATTTATATAAAACCTTACCAAGTTTAGCTGTAAAATTAGAAAGATTACCACCATTGATAAAACCATGTAGTTTAAATAGGTCACCAAAACCATTACGACCCGGCCTGAATGGAAGAGGTGTGTAAGCGTGTAAAGCAGCTGACCAATATACGTCACCGCCTATAGCATTACCTTCACTGCGAGGGCCACAACCTCTCATATCAAAACCTCTAATATTTAAGGGTCCACCCAAGAAAAAGTGGTCAATAATACTAATTTTCATATCATTATTAATGCTTCTTAATAATCCTGCTTGAGCAGCTACTTGGAACGTCTATATTAAATAAAGATATACAAATAAATAATCAAAATATATTAAGATGTTTTAAACATAGAATGAAATTGTATATATAATCAATTGAAACATATGAACATACTAACAAGATATTTATGTGGTGACCAATTGCTTTGCATCATAAGTTCATTTTTTATAAATCCGATATCTCCACCTAAGCCTGCAATTTCACTAGAAAATTGGATAAAATTTCCTCTAGTTGGAAATAGTCTAGCATCCCTTTTATCGAGTGAACAAATGTGTCTTAAGGCTGACTTTAAACTTGGGCCACATTGCTCGCGAACACTAAACGATGCCTGTCTAGAGCACGATACTTGTCTAAATGCTGCTTCATATTGAAAGTTGTGCTTTAATGTATTTATTGTTCCTGTATACCAGGCTACATCCAGTAAAAGCCCATTATCTCTCTCCGTATATCCAGACCATGGAAAATTACTTGAGGTACCATATAAACTACCTGTTAATCTAACATTTATTTAACTCGTTAAAATTATGTAACCTTTTATATACCATGTGTGAAAAATAAACTGGTTGACTATATTTACATTGTATGCAACCAATCATTTATAAGTGGTTTAATAGTAGAGATATTTATATTACTTGAGCTCTTATTGCCATATGAATACTCTACTTGAACTTTTTCTCCTCTTCCAAAGATATTAGGTGCTTTTGCACCAATAAGAACTGATCCTTCATTATTGCCCACCATTGTGTTTATTGACCCCATCAGACGACTCATCTCTCGGACAGTAAAAGTTACCTAATTAGATTTATAATGTTTAGATTTATACATACAAATACACGCACACACGCGAATGTATGCATACATATGCATATCTAGATGATTATTTTTTGAAGACATTCATATGTATTTCTGACAAAACCCAAATGTTACGTTGTAAAATCTATTGTAATTATACTTTAAATGAAATTTCAATCTGAGAAATTACTTATTCTTTGTTGAATTAGTGTAATTATATAGACCCACTTCTACACCTTCTGGGGTAGCATTAGGACCTTCACTTATATCGATGAAGATTCCAATATTCTTGAAGCATCCTAAAGCTTCCAGTTTTCCTCGTACTTTATGAGCACGCACAATAACGTCTTGAAAATCATGAGCTTTAAAGAGTTCTGAAACTTGTGATTTTATAATATCGTCCTTCGTACGGCCAAGTCCATCAATGTGTATTTTATCAACGCGTGCCTATTAAAATAAGAAAAGACAGTAATTTTTTAATATAATTATCGAGTAATAATAACTTACTTTTATTGCTTGTAGATCTAATGCTTGTGTCTGTACATGTTTCTTCCTCTCAAAATCCTGTTGTGTATTATTATAATCTGACTGAAATAAAAAATTGTATAATAAATTATTTTTAAATAATTAAATTCTATAAAATGTTTCTATTAAAACTTTCAGTTATTTTAAAAAGTTTTGTATGGTAGGATTTAGATTTAATTTCAATGAAAATAAAAAATATTATTACATGCATCTTTTTACTCGTAAAACGTTGACCCATATTTTTTGGCGTACCCAGATCCTAGAAGATTAATACAACGTTATGAAGTCATGTTATAAATGACTTGTAAGTCGTCATATCTTAATTTAGAATGAGATTTTTGTAATAAAAATTAATTTAATTATATATACATTTACATCTGTATATGACATTTTATATGATTTCTACAATATATATTGATAATGTATGAAAATTATCAATTGAACGATTTAAATAATTACCACGCGTAAACTAACAATTTATCTTTAAGGTTATGTGATGTACAGATTAATACATATTATTTATATACCTTGGCATGAACAGTTCCCATTTTTGTTTTTATTCACAACTTGGTTTAAGAAAGTAACAATGAAATTTATATAAACGTTTCTGTGAATAATTGTATTTATAAAAACACGTCTCTAATTTTTTAAATTAAGCATAGAACAAACTAGAGTTGGTGTTAAGAACCGTAACTTTCAATATGAAAGACCGTCTACAACTTTAATTCCATACATGCACAAAAAATGCAGTGGCGCAATGACAAGTTGATACTTTGTTGCAATAATGCAAAAAAAATTCAAGAGAAACATTGATCATAAATACATATAACAGTTTAGAGTAGTAATATACAGTATATGATACAGTAACTAATACATTTTAAATAAGAAAATTACGTTGAAAAAGAAATTATGATAATATACCATTTAATTTTGTAATAAGGAATTGAATCTATTGCAGCTAATTATGATCTATGCAACGCTACGAGAATATTTCATTCTGTGTCCGCTAGGGAGTTTAACAGTAGGCTTTATATATATATATAACAAGTGAATCTTTTTTTTATAATACACATACATGTTATAACATATACAATATTTATTTAAACATTTAAAGAATTCAAAAAATAAATACAATTCTAAAAGATGTAATAGAATAATAAAAGACGAAATTTGTTAACTATTTAACTAATAGATTCGCCTAAGTTTTTATAATCTATATATTCAACCTAATTATTGCATTTAATGATATAGTATAAAAAAGTAGTGTTATTATTTTTTTATGTTCTGAATCATCTTATGCTATTATTAAAAGAAAGATAGAAGAACATTCAGATAATTTTATTTTACAAATAGATAAAATGTTTTATAAAAGTATAACTTAAAATATATTATATATATATATATATATAAAGCGAGTATTAAAGAAATAATTAAATTTACACGCCATAAAAATTTGTATCCAAAACTTTATAAAGCAGCTGGACCAACTCGAGATGTTGTAGAAATAGGAGACACAGGACTACCATGAACTTCTAAATCAAATTCAGAATTGGATAATGATCCTCTCATAACTCTATTCCATCTATCTGCACTTTCATTACTTAAAACATAATGCTGAGAATTGTCTGTACTTGTATTTGGTTGTGAACTTGCACGCAATGCTTCTTGGTGTATAATAATTTCATTAGTTATGTATGCTTCACGGCGTATCTTGTCTCGTAGTTTTGGACTAATATCAGGAATGCACCAACGCACAAGAATCATAACCATGGCTACTATATTCTGGAAATAATACAAATTACCTATATATAATGTGGTATAATTACTTTTTTTAATGATAATTTTTAATTTATTGTTATTAATAATATATCTGTTATACTTATTTATAAGCATTTAATTTAAAAAATTTGTAAACTGATCTATTTATTCTTTATACAATGGGACTAACTACTAATAATAAGCATACCTCAAATACTACAATGAAAGCTAATCTGGCTGCCAAAATATGCCAAAATGTAATGGTATATTGGTACTTATTTTTGGACGATGGTGGTTCCCTAAAATCTGGATATCTACAGATTTCCACTGTTCGTTGATTATTTGTATTCAATGGTTGAGTGTTATTTTCAAAATCCTTGACATTAAATTTTGCTAAAGAATAATCCAAAAAGCCTTCTAAACTGTAATTATCAGAAACTGCCATTAGATAAACTAGACGTGGTATAAAATTAGACGTGAAAGCAATGATGAAACCCTGAAATTAGATAGTAGATTTACAGCAAAGATCTTTTTACATATGTTAAAATACATTAAGAAAATTCGATTACTTACATTAGTTATAACTGATATTTTAGAAATTGAATCGAGAATTCTGTACCATATACCGATATCTGTAACACGCTGTCCAACAGGTCGGCGAAACATTGTTAATAACTTTTTAGCATCTAATCGCATTTCAAGAACATTATTTAATAAGGCAAAAAATGGTGCAAGTGGAAAAGCAGCAACAAAAATAGTAACAAATCCATATTGCAATACTGAAAGAATATATTTTTAAATGGTAGAATTAGAAAAAATGTTATCAAACAACGAAACTGTAACCTATATTCTAAATTCATTAAGATATAATTAATTATATTTATATTACCCATCTCCAAGTATTCTGGAAATAAACTTCTAGGTCCAAATTGTACTAATTTATAATCTTTAACCCATTGAGGATCTTTCTTGGAAGCATTTTTTTGTTCTTTCGACATTTTTCGAGTACCGACATGAACTTTCAACGTATTCAACCATTTAAAAAATAATGGATATAACATTTCTAAAATTGTATTCATCGCTTGTTTTCCAATCATAATAATGCTAAGTTGAATACATAATTCCATTAGGCAACCACCAGGACCACATTCTTCTTGTCGAAAGTGAAAGAAACGATTATAATTTCCTGGATATCCAACAAATTTTCCTTTAAAAAATGCGATGTAAAATATAGAAGCATAATAATTCACAAATTCGAGTAAATATATTTTTAAAGTCAGACTATCATCAAATTCAGTTTGTGTGCGAAGAAGTTCGATCTGAAATAATAAATGTTTGTTATTATTAAAACAAATTGTATTTAATCCAATATAAATATTGATTTATTACCTCTGTTAAGTATTCAGCTAACCAAACATAAACCCAATTAAAAACTATAATACATCCTAAATTAATAGAAGCCGCAGTGGCTGTCGTAAATAATATAGCATAACTAGTAACCATAGGATGACCATAAAAACTCAGTGCAGTTAAAACAGACATTCTGTATAGTACTACTCCTAGTACAGCAGCCATTGCTACTGCTATCTGCAAGTGAAATTATTAAATGATAACTTGTGTGTTATGATATATTTAAAGTTTAAAATAAAGTATTGTATATATACATATTAAATAAATATACCATTAAGAGAATAACAGAGAAACTAAGAATTTTGGCAGGAAGTTTCATTTTCCAATATGGAACTTTTGGTTCTTCGGTATTTGTAATAATATTAAGAGATTTTTTTTTAATATGTGCAAGTCTTGCTAAGTAGAGTGGCCTAGGATGTTCTTCTTGAGCATCTAAACTTGTTATATCCCATCTATGAGTTATTTCAGCTGAATATTTTTTCCATAGTTCCAAAAATAGAGTGGCTGTAATTATAATACCATTACTATATTTCCATAAAAAGTTATTCTTCGAGTAATCTAATTTAAAATTATCTTACCCCATAATGACATAAATACTGCAAAAAAGACTGTAGAAGGATTATCAAATAAATATGTTATTCTAGCATGTAAACATGTTTCTTTTAGATCCCAATATCCACAAAAATGATCACATAATGGACACATATCAATAGTATTATTGGCATTACATATATCTTCACTAGGTTCATTAGAATATAATGTAGCACAACTGTATATAAAACATAGGAGTCCAACTATACTAGCTGGTATTAACATGTGTGTATAAAACCCCAACCAAGCGAAGTACAATCCGATTTTAACACCAAAATATTCTTTAACATAGTCTAATGGTTGATAATGGAGACATTTTCTTACACTAGCCCATTCATTATACAAAAGATATCGCATAGAATCCATAGTATGAAGGGTACCCTATGAATAATAAATATTTCCCTTAAAATAAAAATATTACAAAATATATATTTCATAAAATTTAACATACGTACAAAGAAACATTCAAAATTGTTATTATATTTCTTCTTAACTTTGATTATTGCTTATTAACAAGTACCATCCATGGTAATATTTTTATGGTAATTTGCTGATTCTTTATGCCACACTATTTGTTAATAAAAAAAACTTACCCTGGACTTGAAAATTTAACTTATTGAAATCTTTATGTTGTTAGTAATGAAAAATTGAGAATACAACTTACATCATGTAATGGATATGCTGCCACATACGATCTTTCAGAAATAAGTCGTTCAATACCAAATGCAAAGTCATCATTCTTGCCTTTAGCAAATCGTGTTCTATCCAAAATAAACTGAACTACTCTTGATCGTATAGCAGAAGTAAAAAAGTTAGGGGAATCTAAATCAAATAAGTATTCTTTATCTCGACTATATATAGCAGTAAATTTATGCTTAATTGCTGGAAAAATAGTTGTATCAACATAATAATTTTTCATAATTCTTTTAAAAAGAGAATTCACTTCGTGGATTATAACATTATTGTATGTTGGAGGATTTACTAGTTCAGGTATTTCTTTCATGGGAAGTCTAAGTTTTAATATTTCTGCATATCGTCGTAGAACTTCTCGAGGAGCATGAATTTTTATAAAATGCAAACCATTTGATTCTACTGGCTCATATTCTAACTCCAATCCTTCTTTTAATAGATTTGTCTCAAATACCTATAAATAATATTATGTATAAATAGAGCATGCATAACTTAATTTAAATTAAATAATAATAGGCATATAGGTTTCATACCCGTCTAAATTCCACACTACGGTATGTTTGTGCTTCTCCATCAAAATCATCCCAAACTAGTACAAAATCAACAGAACGAATCTTATCTTTAAAAAATAAACTGAATCTTGTAGAACTATCGGATTGCTATAAAGAAGATTAAAAATATTAATGTTGCATATTATAAAGTAAATGAAGAAAAAGAATTAATAAAACATATACTGCATCAATAAGAATATACATTTATTTCGCTAAAGCTCCCATTCATGATAACTTCATTATTTTCGATATCAATAGGCAATATATCATCATTATTCGAGGAATCATTGCATTGTGCTGGTGTTTGACTGTGTAAACTATTCATACTTATAGCATCTTCATAAAATGTATTTCTGGGGCTTCGATAGATAGTTTGTTCTGATCCATGATTTAAATTATCTTGTAAAGAATGATAAACACTCAACGCAGGAGTATGACTTTCACACTGCTGCGTTAATTTGATAAAAGCTTCATCTTCTTCATCCATATTTTACTGAAAAGATTAGAATAGAAACTTTCTTTTTAAGCTGAAGAGAATTTATATTGCATAAAGACAAAAATAAGCTTTTTATTTTTTGTTCTATTGAGTAGATTATTTTAAATAAATATATATATTGTATATATATATGTTGTTGTATGTGTGTGTATTATATATATATAATATACAATAATAATAATAATAATAGTAATAATAATAATCTTTTAAAGTACAAAGATTTTCGTTAGAATAACCAAAAATTAATATTGTGTAATATAAAACTTACCAAATTAATACAAAAAAATTGACCAATTTTTATGCACTAAAATTAATAACCAACGATTCTTCAAAGTAATCATTATTACTTTTAAATATATATACGTCTAATACACGTGTCAAATTATTAGGGTTATGTTACAAAGCATTTTATCAATCTTAAATACATTTTGACAAAAAAGGTCTCGGTGAACTTGCTGAACGTCACGAGTACAACTTTACATCCAGTCGTTTATTGGATATATAAAATTACAGTGGAGGGGAGTAAACTTATCCTGTGTGTGTCATAATATAAGAATTTTCTACCATTTTAATTTAAATTAAATTCAATCTTGTGGCGGTAAATATTTATAACTTGTTTATGTTTTATAGAATTAATCAGGAGTAAGGAAAAATTTAGGAGAATTCTAACAGTAAGTGCGTGTAATAATTTATACTTTAACTTGAGTAAACAAACGTTGATACTTTAGGATAAAGCTAAACGTGCTTATACATAAAAATAGATACATTCCCAATTCTATCGTACTCTAACCTTAAAGTCTACATATATCCAATAAATTAACGACAGTTGCAGTAATGTATTAGATATTAATTGATGAAACAAACTTGCATCCTTAATAATATTAATAATACGTTTATGCTTTAATCAAATCAGAGAGAACAGTAATAATACAATTAAATATGTGGAATTATACAGGACTTAAACGTTGTGTTAATCTATTTAAATCAATATCAATTTCAATAATGAGGTCGAAACACAATTTGATAATGTATTCACCAAGAAATAATATTTCACATTTTAATAAGACCAAAATAGCATTATTACCATCACAACATAGTATTGCGCATATTGAATACTGCAGTTGCACGAATAGATTGGAAAATGCAAGGGCATTTTCTACCACAATTATGTTAGCCAAAAGCAAGGATCGTGGAAAAGATAAGAAGAAAACTACACAAAAAAAGAATATAGATTTTCGTGAAATGGAAGAAGTAGTAAATGTTGAAAAATTAACATTGCAACTTGACAAATTAATGGATAGATTAAAAGATAATTATATTAAGAATGTGTCGGTAAGGTCTGCTGCTGGAGCGATTGAAGAATTGCCAGTCAAACTTGATGGAACCCAATACTTGCTTCAAGAACTTGTACAAGTCAGTAGAACACCTAAGATGGTTATATTGAATGCGAGTGCATTTCCTCAATATATTCCAAATATTATTCAAGTTCTTACCAAGAATCAAATGAATTTGAATCCACAACAGGATGGTACCATGATATATATTCCTATTCCCAAGTAAGTTTCCAAATAGTTATGTTTTATGTCATATAGTATGCACTTATTAGAAGATACAGGGTATAACAGAACACGTGAAATATACTTCAGAAGCTTGATTATTCACATACAAATAATGATACATGTTCTGTTACGCTTTGAATATATCTATGATGTACAATATGTTATATGCACTTTTTGGTTTAAAAACTTACAGAGTGACAAAAGAATATAGAGAGAGTTTGTCAAAGAGTGCAAAGTCTTTTTATATTAAATGTCGTGATGATATGAAGGAGGTACGCACTGAGTATATAAAAAAAGTTAAAAATGTAAACAAATTACCACAAGATGTAAGCTTAAGAGTTCAAGGGTACATAGATGTTTATACAAACCAATATATTGAAAAAGCTGAAAAAATTCTAGAAACTAAACAAAAAGAATTAATGGGTGATGAACATTAGATCTATAGCCTAATAATATTAGATCTATATTAGTGTTATGTACAATTTTATTTCTTATTTCTTATGATTCTAATAGGATTACATGTAAATGCAATACTAGAGCCATTTTTTGGAACTCTTTGTATAAGATAAAAATATACTGCTTTAATATATATTATATTATTTTTATACAAAGTATTATGCCTATAAATTATAAAAATATTTTTTTTATGATATGCTATTAATAATTTATTTTACGATATGACAAAAAACAACAATAATTTTATTTATATTATAAATTATTATTTAGTAAATAAGTTTAACATTTCTTTTACAAATTAATTGTTTTATTCTTAGTGCTATCATTATTGACGTGATTTCTTACGTAATGCAAGAGTGCTTTGCACAAAATCGTTGAACCTTTTATTAATGTTTCTTTCGGATGAAAAGCAATGCTAAGTCTTAAAAAGTTTTTAACTGTACCATTATATGAGAACCTTACACCTGGTATTGCTGAGACTTTATATTCTTTTTGACACCAGTTAATGAAATCCGTACCATCGACATCTGCGTAAAAGAATTTTTTTAAATATTAGATAAAATTTGGGAATATAATTTAGAAAGACTTTTTTACTTTGCGGAAGATGAATCCAAACGAAGTAACCTCCTTTTGGTCGACGATAGGAACAACAACTTGGGAGATAACGATCCAAAGTTTCACAAAGTGTATTTAATCTTTCCTAAAAATAAAACAATTACTTTTTCTTTCTATAATAAAATTATTTGATTAATTACAATATTTATTGTAATATCGATCATGTTTCTTATTATAGTAAATTCCACCTTGTATGTCTTAACAAGAAAGTTCAGGTATTCATCTTCAATCTTTCCCTGTAATAAACTGGTTATTAAGCCGGAGATATAGTGATTGGTAGCTCCACCACTACACAATATACCTCTGTAAGATTTAAAAATTATTAAAAACATTTTTAAAAATTATTTCTGGAAACGAATATATTACATACGAAGTTTTAAAGATATGAACCATTCGTGGACTGCCTTCTATCCATCCAAATCGGATTGCAGGCGATAGTATTTTAGAAAAGGATCCATTTGATAAAATGTTACCACCTTTATAGTTAGGATCTTCTGGATTATCGTAGAAAAATAATCGATGAGGTGGGAATCCGTTTTCATAATGTAATAAATTATAAACATCCTCAGCAACAATCAGCATAGAATTATTTCGAGCTATTTCAACTAAACGTTTGCAACTGTCTAAAAATAGATAAGTAATATTCATTGTAGAGAGATATTTCTTAATTATATCGATATAAAAGATTACAGTAATTTACTCGCCAGGAGGTAGAACCATTCCTGTGGGATTATGATAAGTCGGTATGGTATAAAACATTGCCCAGAATATTTTTGCATTATCTAGATAATATTCATTTTTCTTTACTTCAGAAATAATTTTTTCGAATGCATCCAGATCTACTACATCATTTTTCATCGGCACTACATAATATTGTAATAATGTAGAATATAAAATGTATACGAAATTAAAATGAATGTTAAAAGTACATTCGATTTATATAAATTCTAAGCACGTACCAGTGATAATTTTCATCAATGGAAATTGTTTGAATGAATCTAATGCTATCATATATGTGACTTCTTCGACAAATATAATACCATTTGGTGACACAATACTTGTTAGTAAAAGTTGAAGACCGTGCGTTGCTCCACAAGTCAAAATTAAATTTTCTCTTTGAACTGGATCACCATATTGCCTGCTTAGAAATTTGGCCAACTCTTCACGACATTCCCATAATCCTGATGTTATTCCATATTGAAAAAGATAGAAATTACCTTCCTTTTCTTCTTCCTCCTACAATGATAAATATTATAGATATACTCTGAACATAAAATTGAATTGAACAATGCTGTGTAAAGTAGGACACTGTAATTCACCATTCTATGAACAGTTGCATTCGATAGCATGTTTGTGCATTTCTTAAGCAGGTCAGGACCAGGGGCGCCGACTGACATATTAATCGCTTCTTTATTGTAAACGTTGAATATCGGATCACCATCAAAAAGATGTCTCAAATATGGATCTTGTTCAGTTTCCATCGTTAATTTTCTATAAAATATAATATATATATTACGTTTACTAATTAAATATTAATTATTGCAAATTAACTTTGTTCATGACATTTTGTACATCAAATTACGCAGTCTGTACAAAGCATTATATTATGCAATAATTATTTGATAGAAAAACTATATTATCTGTTCTATATTACATATATCGTACCTACATAGATGTATTGTAAAACGGATTATAATCGCGATCGATAATTGATAAGATAACAATCTTTATACTTTACAAAATCTAATAATAAAATAAAACGGTAACATTGTCTACGTATCTAATCAAACTGTCTCTAAAAGATAAGTGTACACTTGTTCGGAACAATTTTATTTGAATACGATTTTTTAAATCAACGATACTTGAATCGCAACAAACCTTATAGAAATTTTATTTTTGTAATATTTTAAATAAGTAAATAACTTTGATATCATTATAATTTTAGAGTTCGATTTACGATACATTTATTTGTAGTCAGATCATAAAAGTAACTTATATGAACAGAAATATTTTTTAATTACTTATATGAATACTGTTGCCACTGTATATTTCCAATTAAGATTAATTGCTTTGATACTATATCAGTAAAAATTCACTATATCAATATGTATATATATAATAAACACAAGCACGACACGGCTCGTGCGCAACTGACGGAAGATTGAAATAACAAAGACGATATATAGCTTGCGTTAATCATTGCACAACATTTTCCTTTCCCCTCTCTCTTTTTTTTTTAATTCACTATAGTTTCGTGTATGTCTATAATTATTGTTTGCCATATACGTGATTTTGCAAAAATGCATAAAATTACTTAATAATATTCAACTGAAAAGTTGAATGGAAGTAAAATATATGCAAATGAGACTAAAATATTTTTAACGTATTAATTATTCACGATTGTGAATAAAGGGGAATAATACATGTAATTATTACATTAAAATAATTTCATTACCTTTAATGATAGAAGTCAATGGTTATTCGACACAGAGAAACTATCAATGGATTTACGAATGTTGAATGTTTTCTTTATTACAATATTTCGATATACAATGATAATTATATAAAGATCTATAAATTCTATCTCCACAACCGAATGGCAAATGTAACTTTTCGTTAACGCTATTAGTCCTCACCGGCCGTTTATAATAATGTACAATTTTTTTTCAAGTTTCTTGTAGCGCTTAACAACACTTTATTTTTTACGTAAATTCGTGGAAACGAGAAAAGATGAGTAAGATGATGAGAGGAGGAGGAAGAGAGGGAAAGAGGAAAATGTGAGAGAAATAATGATAAAGATATTGAATAAAATAATTGTGAGAATGTGATGGAGGAAAAAAGGAACGAATGAATATAATTAGTAAGATAAGAGGCGGGTGTGGGAGTAGGTAGGAGGTGAGTGCATATGAGAGAGGGAGAAAAGGAAATGTGAGAGAAATGACAATAAAGATACTAAATAAAACGAGCGTTAGAATATTAGAGATCTTCAGAAAAAATATTTTTTACAAACAATGCTCTTCTTTTTTTCGATTTTTCTGTTATTCAGCGTGGCGCGATGATATATATATATTACACAATGGAAATAATCAATAGTAATTAGTAACGCCTAAACACAATATACACAATTCGGACTGGCGTTCTTCCTCTCCCTCCTTCTTCCTTAGATAATTTATTATTGTATATGAGAGATCGTGTTACGCGTAGCAAAATTGTGACCGTTAACAAATTGTTTCCTTTTATAATTACATATATAGAAATATAAATATATAAAATGTTTTGTTTTATAATATTTAAAAACGTATAGATATATAAATTGTTTTGTTATATAATATTTAGAAACGCTTAAGATGTATAAAATTGTCTCTTTTTTTCTTTTCGCATTATTGTTAAGGTTCTAATTGTATTTTTTATCACAGAAATATTATGGAACTCGCAAGTAACAATTTCGCATACGCATATACCGATTCATAATAAATGTATCGGGTGACCGAGAAAGAGGACTCGTTTCTTTAAAAAGATATTTTTTTTTTAAATACGTACATAGATAATAGATCCATTTCAATTAATTCTTTGTTTTTTCCTGTACAAACATGGCACGTCCTACCCTAATGTTACATGGTGCGTCATTGTATAACTATATATTTTATACAGCCCGTTTTTCGATCTAGGCAATAAAACTACGTATTCTTCTTTTTCAAGTACTTTCAACTTCCGCCGTTGTAGAAGTTTTCGCTTACAATTAGAATATTACTAACTGCTAATTTATTTACAATCGCATTTCGTATAAAAATCAAAATCATATGAATTCGATTTTAATTGAGCGTTTGAAAAAGAGAGAGGAAAAAGAGAAGAAGAAGAAGAAAAAGAAGAAGAAGAAAAAAAAACAATGGCATAACAAAGGCATCGAAAATATCGTCTAAACGAGTAAGAATGATATAAAATTTTTAAGTAAAGACACAATAACATTTCGTATTTGTATGGGGAATTCGGGTCGATGACCGTTTCGTCACTTTTTCTTTATCTCGTATTTTTTGATAATTTATTCGAGAGGATCGTCCTAAAATAAAAAATAAAAAAACAATAAATGAGCGAAAGAAAGAAATAAGGATAGCCGTAACAATATTTAAGTGTTCCCAAGGTAAAGTAGAATGTCTTTTTTGTATCACAGTCAGCGGTTAACCGCACGATGCTCCGAAATGGGCAATTCAAATGTTCATGGATCTTTTTAGATCCCAAAAATAGGTTTGCTCGCGTTATAATATAATTCAAAATTATCGATATTTCTAAATGATCAGTCATTGAGGCAAGGTTGTATCTATCTAAAGACGAAATTGTCGAATTGTCGTGTCATATTCTATCATATATAATATATAGAGACAGATGTGTGTGTGTGTTTTCGATCAATTAGGTATATCATTATTAGAAGGAAATTTAGGATACGAAATTTTTCAAAGTGAAAGGGAAGAGAAACAATTATGTATTGTTCGTGCAGCCTTATGCCATTACCTTACGCCAAAGCTCTCTAAAACTTACAGATTTGAAGGTAACAATTTATTTACAAGCCATGGCAAATGGCACATTAAGAAAAAACGTTTGCACTATTTATTCGCTTGAACGCGGATAATGTATATATGCTTTCGCAGATTTTTTTATCCGACGTTGTCCGATTTATCTTACGTTATATTTTTCTGTTTCTCAATCTAATAATCTTTCACTGTTCTCATACTATACGACTTAACTCTAATCACAATCGAGCACGGCACTTGTATGAAGCGTCCTTTGTAAGTACTGTAAGACGTACTCATTTGAGTAATCCTTCTTTAAATGCGAATGCTTTTCTTCTAACATTCGATCTTTATTTTCCGACTGTTTAATGACATATCCCTTTCGTTTCCAAATCGTTATTCGTCTTGCATAATACAATGACGATTTGAATATAATCAAACGGTCGTCTCGTTTTTCCTAAAAGGTTTCAACGGTTGTAGCTCGCGTTCGAGTCTATCGAAATCATTGTAATACTCGTGATCCGATTCTTCCTCGGAACTTCTTTGTCGAACTTGAGAACCGAACGTCCCGTTAGTTAAGACTTTCTCTAAATCTGGCGTTGGAATTCCTAGAGTTTGAGGCGTGAGAGGTCCTTCATCTTGGGACATTATGTATTCTGGATTATCCAACGACGTTTTTCCTTGGATCGTCAAGAACTCTGGATATTTTCTATAACCACTGTTCATTCGTTTTGTTTCTGAGTCTAAAATATAAATTCGATTGATTGAAATGATTGCTATGGTGTAGAAAGAACGATTGAGAAGCAATTTCGAAATTTGCTATTCACCTGTAGGTTTTGTGTCTCCTATGAGATCCATGTACTGAGTCGTATTCGTTGGAAGTTGTGGCGATGGCATTAAATAATCGTCTTCGTCCAATGGCAAATCTAATTTAAGATTGCCTACTTGTGCTTGTTGGTGTGCCGCATTTACTTCGGTAGGGTAGCAGTCGTCTGTTACGTCACAGTCTGCATAGATAATAATATTATATATGTTAAATATGTATTAATATATTAGTTTATATGTACATAAATTTGTAAATGTAAATACTTTTTTGATTATTATCGAGTTTACTAACCTCTGACACCGACCATTTTTAATGGATCAGAACAGTATCTCGAACTTGAACTATCGGAACCTACAACGTGTCCACAATGGCCATTTGGATGAGCATAATGACCGTGTTGTCCAGAATTTCCAGGTTCGTGGGACGCATTTGCATTTCCATGATTCGAATTATACCTCAACAATTCTCTATCCCAATTTTGTTGATTTTGCGGTATAGGAGAATCTCCGGCGAGTGGTTTGCCATTTGCCCAACAAGTTTTAACAGGCGAATGTGGTGGTGAATCGGAAGTACTGGATACTGAAATGCCAGGTGGAACAGGTGCTCTCGATTTTGGTTGAAGATATTCATCGGCATCCACTAATGCTTCGGGTCCCTCCATAGCTGATGCAAGATTTCGAATCATTTCTTTCTCGTCCTTAAATGACAGACAAAAATTGATTGAACAATTGTATTTTATACATTATATATTATATGGAGATAATTATATTTGAATATTAGACATACCTGTAAAGTGTATGACGGTAGCCTCATGTATTTGTCTCCTTTAATTGCTAAATATCGGCCAGGGTCCCTAGACATTTTAGCAAACTCTTCGGCTAGTTCTTTAAAACTCGGCCTTGACTCCGCATCCAACATCCAACATTTGATCATAATCATATAAACATCTATAGTACAGATAATAGGTTGTGGCAGTCTTTCACCTTTCTCCAACAATTCAGGAACGTTTCTTGCTGGCACGTGTTCATAGGGTCTACCACCATAAGTGAGTACTTCCCATATAGTAACACCAAATGCCCACACATCGGATTTGTGAGTAAAAACTCGATGTTGTATACATTCCAACGCTAACCATTTTATCGGCATTTTCCCACCCGCTGCTTTATATTGTTCTTCGTTGATATCCAAAAGTTTGGCCAATCCAAAGTCTGTGATTTTCACACAATTAGGCGTTTGTACGAGAACGTTGCGTGCAGCCAAATCTCTATGAACGAGCCTTCTTTCTTCGAGATAAGCCATACCTCTTGCTATTTGGGTACACCAATTCAATAAAGCCTTCGAGCCTATTTTATCTTTGTACCTTCGCGCAAAGTCCAATAGACAGCCTAATGGCATTAATTGTGTTACCAACATCATTTGAGATGTCATACAAACGGCTAACAATTGTAACAAATTTGGATGTTCGACGCTAGCCATAATGTATGCTTCATCGAGAAATTCTTTCGAAGTATTCGTGCCTGTACCTTCGTGTAAAACTTTGATGGCGACTGGAATTTTGACATTCTCACCTTCCGGAACCCAAACACCTTTATAGACGTTACCAAAAGCACCGTAACCTAATATGCCACCCTTTCTCATCTCTTCTTCTTTGATTATACGTAACTTCGCCAAATTTGGTTTTACACCTGTTGGTCGAAGTGGTTCGTTGTCATCCAACCCTGTCAATGCCATCGTCATTTTGACTGTATTCTCTTTAGCTTTCGCATGCATTCGCCATTGATAGGTGATTATCAATGCAACTAGTATGAATATCAATATGAAAACTATGGCACCGGCAACGATAGCAGGTCGAAGTTCGTTGTCTGTTTGAAAGCCAGGACCGACGATTTCTAAGGAACAGTAGGGCTCATTATCCTGAAGGAAGACTTTATGCGGATATTCCGGTGGACAAGTTTCGGTACAATTGAAGGAAGTTGAATTATTATTTGGATCACCATCCTATAATATAATTTAATTAATAGATAATAGAAAACAGCATATTGAATATAATAAATATGAGACATATACGTACTATGTAGATTTTGTAATTACGACATTTGTAACATTGATTGGGTCCAGATCCGAAACAACCACGGCATTCTTCGAAACATGGTAAACATAATTGTGTTTCAGCATCAGCAAAATGATCAGCAGGACATTCATCCTCGCATTGCTCTCCTCTTTTATATTTCGTACATTGTTGACACACTTGTTCGTGAAAACCATAGCCCGTACATTTCTTACAACGTGGATGACATTTTCGACATACAGATTTACCTGCGAGTGGTTTTAAAGCACCTTGCTCTAGTGGACTAACCCACTCGTAATAATGCCCTATAACAAAATAGAACATTTTTGTAAGGATTTTTATTCGATGACGATTGAACAAAATGTATTTATTGTAGCTGCAATGTCAACTACATACCATCTGGGCATGGTTCTCTCTTCTGTAAACATCCTTCAGGTATATGACCATTCATAATCGCTTTTTCACAGCTATGGCATCCGTTAGCTCCTATGTTGTTTTCTGGACCTTCGCAACCGCCTACACAATTTTCATGACAATGTTTACATTGACCATTATCGTTATATTTCGAAGACGGACATTCCTGAACACAGTAAGGACCATCTCTAACGTGTTTACATTTGGTACAATGTTCAGCATTCGGTCCGGTACAAGAGCCATCGCATTCATCATGACAAAGTTTGCAAGTTTTTTCGTCTGCTTGATAAATCCTATAACATGTAAGAAAGAAAGTTATTATTTGCAATGATCAACACACACACTTCAAAGATTTTCTTTGTCAATGCAATTGTTTTATTAGCATCAATGTGAATAAAATAGTCGTACAAAGTGTATTCAATTCACAACAAGATTTACCTTTATTCCATAACTTAGGTGAGCAAATTCGATTAATCAAAAGCAATATTATTGTGAGAATCTATTCTTATCGATCATTATATAGTGATATATATATATAATATATAAATACAATTAACGAAAATTTACTTACCCAGATGCAACGCAATTTTGAAGACAATCATTACCTAAAATGAAATTTCTACAAGATAAACATTGAGCTGGTCCAGGACCCCAGCATCCTTCATCTGAACATTGCTCATCGCATACCAAATTTTCTGCTTCTGCAAAACGATACGATGCGATACGTCAATGTCACGTAACACATAAGATTCGTTTTTAAGCGAAACGATAACGTTCAATTTCACTTACTGCAATCAGTCTCATTTCTGTTGTTCATATACAAGCTGTCGTGTTCCGAGGATTTCTTAATTCTATTCCAATTAATACTCTGAGCGTAACACAACTTTTTATTCTCCAATATAGCAATAGCACCGGAATTAATCTTTTTCAATGCGCTCAGATCCAATGATACCAAGGATGTTTTTACGATATACAAAGATGAAAAATATTCTGTTAAGGTTCTACCACCGATCACTTCGAGATTACGGAAATATGAAAGATTTGTAAAATCTTTATGATCGCCTTGTATGTTTAAGTATCCCGTGATTTCTTTTAACGTACTAAAGACTTCCAATTTATCAGGATGCATTTTTTTATAACGTTTGGCGAAAGTGAAATTCGGGTAAATGTCTTGGAATCCTTCGAAACTTTGATCGAGAATTGTGATGGATCCTTCGATAATCGTGCAATCTTTAAAACTATCGATGTTACCGGAATGAACCTTTTCAACTCCTTTGCAAGTCTTTGGACAAGGACCGTCACAAGGTACACATTCGCCATTCAAAACTTTTTTCTTTGGTGGACAAGATCTTACACAAGCTCCGTTATCTTTCAAAAGATGTTCAGGACATTTTCTGACACACGTTGCTCCGTAAGCATATTTTCCATCTGGATTGGCTTCCCACGAGTAAGTCGTTGGATTGTACCTATCAAAATTCGTAATGTTAACGAAAGTAAAAAAAACAATAATTTTGTGCACAACTATATTGGAACTAATATTCAATGCATTTTTATATAAATCTTACTTTTGCATTGGCGGACACTCTTGCGTACAAACTCCGTCATCGAAGAAGTTTTTGCAAGCGAGGCAGTCGCTTTGTTTAGGACCAGTGCAGCCACCGGCGCAAAAAAGATGACAGCACTCGCGTGGATTGGACCCGAAGCACCTGCCCTGCCAGCATTGGGGCGAGCAGTTCGTCTTGGAAAACCTTTGACAATTCTCAGCTCCTTCTCCCCAGCAACCCTGTTCGCAACTTTTGTCGCACGCCGTGCAATTGCGTTCGCGCGATGTGAAATTATACACGTAAAGATATTTTCCACCTTGACCCGTAATTATTTCCTCCCAATTGATCGTTTGGATGTGGCAGAGGTTGTAGTTGTTGTACATACCGACGCTTCCGTTAAGAATGTCTGCGACAGGGAAAAATAGATTCAACATTAATTATTCGTTATCAATGAATTATTACATTTATTATAACATTATTATTTATTATAAATTATATAATAAGTATGATACACACATTATTACTATATACTTTTGGTATATATTATAACATGGAAAAAAGAATGAGCTTACCTCTGAGGGCCGGCATCTGCAGATTATGCATTTGACACATCGTGACGAACAGGGCGAATTCCACGTCATGTATATTGAGTTTAAAGAGGGTTCTTCCACGTATGATTTGTAATCTAGGAAGGATGATTTTCCGTACGTCCACGTGACTAATGAGGACATACCCGGTGACTTCTCGTATATATTGAAGAAAGCTGAGATCGAGGGTTTCATTCTGCAGCCACGTAATCTCCAAGTTACCGTCGACGTAAGTACAGTTGGTGTACCGGTCTCGAAGATTCCGATAATGGTGTTGTTTATTGGACGGCACGGAAAGACGACCATTTGTTCCAATGCAGACTGCAACACAAAATGAAAATAATTTTAACATCAAATAGATCGTCGAAGATCAACGTAGTAAGAATTTATTGAAGTATCGTCTAACAGTGATAAAGGTTTTTCTTTAATTAAAATAAGTTTCCTCGTACGTTAAATCCTATCATTTAATCACATAAATTTCATTTCACATCGAAAGTATCCCATAGGATTCATCAAATCGTAGATTGCTTTCTAAGCTTGAAAACGTGCGATGTTAGTGGGCGAACCACTTCCATAAAGTGCCGGTACACCCGTCTCCGTCATTTTGTTGCGCAATGACGCGCATTGGAGCCGGTGTGTGTGTGTGTGTACGCCAGTCGTCGTGGGCACGAATCTCACGAGAAACGCCATAAACATCGAACGATGTTGTGACAGTGTAATGGATTTTTTTTCATTTCTTTTTTTCCTTTTTTCTTTATATTAGGTCATTAAGTATGAAATGTCTGATTTCGAACTGAAAGTAGTAGGAATAATCGGATGTTTCATATTTAATGATCTAATATAAGTAACATCGAGTTCGGAAGGCATGATTCGAGGCAATATGAATTGTAACTGATAATAAAAAAAAAAAAAAAAAAAAAAAAAAAAAAAAAAAAAAAAAAAAGAAAAAGAAAGTATGGGAATTAAAGAGGATGTAATTTGTGATGTGATTGATATTGTACGCAAGAAACGATTGGGCAAATCGTTCGAATGCTTCCTTTTATTAAATATTATTAACGTTTTGTTTTAGAAGGAAGAAAAAGAAAAAAATACAAGAAGAATGAATAAAAAGATAAAGAGAACACATAGCGGCACGTATTGCCATTTGGAATTCGGTTTTGTTCAAAGGTACATCGGCTTGAGGGTGCTCGTTTGAGGGTGCTCTTGCGTTTCGGCGATGCGTTCCAAACTCGTCGTGCACGCGAAAAGGCGATCTTAATCTAAGCGAACGATCGGAACCATGAGAAAATAATTGCGATGGGTACTTTCTAAGGAACTCCTTGCGGTACATGGAGGGAAGGATGTCGCACAAGCTTCGAAAGAAGAGTCGTCGTCGTGTAATGCGCGCGGCTCGTCATCGATGCCGAGAAAAGAAGATGGAGACAACCTTTGAAAGAACTTTTTGATGTCGAGTTGTCAGCGCACCGGTATTTCTACTGGTCAGATGTTATACTCGCGATGTATGCGTTCCAAGTCGAATACTAAATCTTCCTTTCTACGATATCCCCGACTTATCTGCCTAAAAGAAATACTTTAGAAAATTATTTTTCTTCTCATTGTTCACAACTAACAATTCTCTTCCAAATTTTGATCATTAAATTTTCATACGCATTTTTATATATATATTATTTCTAATAAATTTTGTTCGATTAAATATGTGCCGTTTCGATCGACAATCTTTTGCTATTTTTTCTGAAGATGAGAAGAAGATTTCAATTAATGCAATCGATTCTTCTATCGATTAATGAGGTAACATTGGTTTTGTATAAAACAAGGTAACAACCGAAGGGACGATTACTGATGATTGGAAGTGTCGTTGCTTTCCTTTTCGGGCAATCACACCATCACCTTCCGTACCTTTGTAAATCGCGTTTACTCGTCCGTTTCTTCGATCTTGACTATTTTACAATAGTCTCCTCGTTCTCTCTTCTTCTTATTCTTCTTCTCTTCTTTATTCCCTATGATCACCGGTCGTCCAGAGCTCGTTCCACTTTGCTTTTCGACGAATCGCACGGCCGTACGATGGAAATTTTATTCTGAAGGAAGAATAAACGAGCACCGTTCCAAGTCCTTTCAAAGATCTATCGATTCGTCTTCTTTTCTTTCCTTCTCTCATCGTTCCGCGACTGTCCCATCTGTATAGATACATTTACTGACACACGTTCGAGATGAAACGAAATTTTATTTTGAATCATCTTTTAGCCATACAATTACACCGTATTGGAAAAGTATATATATTAAAATTAATATTTATAATATATATATAGAAATGCGTTTACACTAAATTAAAATATATATACGTTAAAATTTGCTTTACAAGGGTTGAACAATTTTCAATTCTTTTAACGCAACTATATTTAAATTCGTTCAAATTGCACAAACACATTTTCTAAGAAAATCGAAGGTAAGAATTTTTGAGTGTAATTCTGTCAGTTCTGAGACAGGTGTAGAACACCATGGAAGAAGAGATGATACGATAGTAGAAAGTATAGAGGTTGGTTAAAGAAATCAAGGATTTGGTTAAGGTCGACGAGCGAATGGCGTTTCTCGTTTCCCTTTCCCTTACGAAGGTGGTGATTATCCTTCGTCAAGGGGGTTGCGAAAATTGCCGAGGGAGCCTCTCACTCTCGAGGAATTAACATTCTGCCAAATTTACGGCTGCAACGCCCGGAGAAGACAATGGGTGGTATCGATTTGCAGCTGAAGCGTGAAACTGCCTATTTTGTAATTATAACAGGCATTTTTCTTCTTTTTTTTTTAAGAACGCACCAGAGATCAAACCACGAGCCCTGTACTTTTCATTCTAGAAACTTTACGCTTTACGGGTATTACAGAATATTGTACAATGTTACAAATAATGTCTATATATATGTGTGAGATAGAAAGAGTGAAAAGTTACGTTAACAATATATAAAATAATATTAATAAATAAAGTTAAACATTTATATACATGTGGATATTAATACCGAATATTATACCGACATTGGAAATTAAAAAGAACTAGAACTTAGTTTTGATCTTTTGCTGAAGAAGTCCCAAAAAAAAACGTCCAATTTAATCAAAACTAAGTTCTAGTTCTTTTTAATGTCCAATTTCCCTACGATACATATTTATTAATAATTTTATTTTTGGACGAGAGAAATAACTAATTGAATTATATCGACATTTTTATTTTGCGTTTATTTAATGTTATTTATCAAAAATCGTGTTCTATTATTTATTTATTATACGTTACTTTTATTTGAAAGATAGAATGACATAGAGATCGATCGAAATCGAACGAATTTCAAAATAAAGAAAGATCATTCGTTGTACGATAAAGTCTCGTTAAAATGACAGTGGCTATATTATATGTTGAGAAAAACGGATGGTACACAACGGTTCGAAGAGACCTCGAAAGTACCGAAATCCCGCGGCGAGAGATTTCTTTTGTGGGTGCGAGAGTCGTACGTCAGGCGGTGTGTCGCATAAGAGAGAACGAAAGAAAGAGAAAGGGAAAGAAAAAGATAGATAGATAGATAGATAGAGAGAGAGAGAGAGAGAGAGAGAGAGAGAGAGAGAGAGAGAGAGAGAGAGAGAAAGAGAAAGAGAAAGAAAGAAAAAGAGAGAATGGGCCTGATTTTTATGCGGCACTTTAGGACGCCATTAAAGGGCCAAAGTAATACGAAATAACCGCACGGTGATACCGGCCGGCAGCGGCGCCGTTTATTTGAGCTCGTAAACATCGATGCCAAGAGAGAGAGAGAGAGAGAGACAGAGAGAATCAAGAGATACCTTGCGAGACCCAACCGAGTAGGCCCGCGGCTAAGTGTCCGCAGAAATAAAGGTCGGCCATCGTAAACGTGCGAAATAACCAACGGCTTCGCTTCTTACCCCGAAGACCGAAAGCTCGAAGAAAAAAATATGCTAGAGAGCAAGAAAGAGATAATGTAAAAAGGCAAGAAACAATAACTTAAGAAGCGAAGAAATAAAAATAAAAGGAACATCTACGACAATAGAAGAAGAAATCACTTTTAGGAATTGAATTTGTTTGTGGATTGCAAGGAACATTGTGACATCGTGACATTGAATAAAATTCAATAATTAATCTTTATCCTCGGTGAAATTTTCAAAACATTTTCATTGATTTAATTATATTAATTATTTCAGTGAGAAATATAATTGTACCAAAGGTTCCTTCGTACTCTTGCTTTTGTTTCGTGATATCGATGTAGATAAGTGTATATATATATAGGTTTGAGTTGAGAAGAAAGAGATAGAATACAAAACCGACGATATATAAGTCGTTCGTATACGCCATAATCCTGGCATAACCATCCGAAGGATAACATTAATAGCTTTATGGTTTATTGCTTTCGAGTCTGCGGTTAAGTTTCTTCGCTCCCTGCAGGGTAAGAGCACGAAGAGAACGTGCCAGTCCACCACGATACCCTGTATATACTTCGGTACATACATACATATATATCTTTCTCCCTCCGTGTACCTCCATTTTTAATCGTGTTACGGTCTTTCTTCTTCTCCTCCTCCTCCTCCTCCTCCTCCTGTTCCTTCTTCTTCCCGATGCCATTTTATTCTCTTGTTCTCTTCCCCCCGATTCGATTCGTATTTACGTTCAGTACTTTAACCTCGATAGGAACGTTCAACAGAAAGAGAGAGAGAGAGAGAGAGACCTCGAACCATATGCTTCTATCCCTTTTCGCTCCTGGAATTCTCGCTTTACGATCCTACAGAATAGCTTTACCACTTTTACGATCTCGCTTGCACGATCGATATTATTACGAGCCCGATCGAACTAATAACCAACCGGGGCTTTAATCATTTTCTGTTGTACGAATAAACGAAACAATTCGTTACTCTTAGCTTCTTGATTTCCAACAGGTGGTCCGTCTCCGTCTCTTACCCTTATCTCCTACCTATCTCGATATTTTTCATCTACGACAAATTTCTATACGTTGCATCGATATTGTTTTTATTGTTTTTTTTTTAAAAAAAGATACAGCGTCGTCAGAAGTTACGTAACGAACGATTGTATTTACGTTCAAACGGGTATTCTCTCATTGTATTTTATCATCATCGTGTATTATTGTTGCACGCGTATCGATATTTTTGAATGATTTCAAAAAATTACCTTTCGCAAAAGGAAAAGGCTTACTTTTTTTTTCGTCTTTTCTCTTCTTATTTCTTCGAAGGAGCAGTTGAACAGCTCCGATCATGAATCGGTAACACGCAACACATGCTAATTTGTTGCCTCGGGGGGAAGCGAACCGATGCAAGAGGATCAG